GTGCAGCAGAAATGTGTGTCCAGAACAGAAGAAGGGAGGTGGCAGAGGGGCACCAAGATCTTTTGGCATTGGTAAACAGGTACATGTGTGTGTGTGTGTGTGTGTGTGTGTGTGTGTGTGTGTGGTGGGGGGAGTCAGACTGGAGGAGAAGAGAGGTAACAAAGTAAATCTAGGGCATGTTTTCATATAAAACTGAGCCCACACCACAGCTCTCTGGTGGGGGGAAAAAAAGAAAAAAAAAAAGAGAAAAAAGAAAGAGAACTTTGCCTCATTCCATTCCAGTCTTGGCCAACTGTGTTAGTGCTGGTTGCAGCCCCACTAGACCACTTGCTGACATGCTGCAACTCCTTAAGGTCCCAAAAGCTCCTCATTTCCTGCTGATCTAGATTCCTGCCATTACAGGGAGCTGATGAAGCGTAGGAGGGCTCCAGTGAGTGCCAGAAGAAACACGAGCTGTGCAGCAGAAATGTGTGTCCAGAACAGAAGAAAGGAAGGTGGCAGAGGGGCACCAAGATCTTTTGGCATTGGTAAACCCCCATGCCAGCTCTTGGGAAACCATACTCTAGGGAAGACATTTTCCCTGTCTACCAAACAATTCCCAGAGAGAGGCAGCATCCTATAGGAATATTTTGGAGCAACAGCCATTGCCCTCTCTAAGTCACCATTTGGAGGAGTTGTTTCCCCAGAAATCTCAAGGCAGCCTGCAGAGCAGACTTTATGGCTACCCAAACTCTGCATTTATGAAATGTTTTGCAGTCAAACCAGGTGGTCTGCAGTACTCGCCAGATGATTTGCAATGTTAATTTGCAATTATTGTGCACAATTTTATATGAAATTCAACAAGTAATTTTGATCCACTGAGAAAACAAGAGAGGGGAAGTGTTTCAAGGTGCTTCATGTGCAGTACTAACCTGACTGAGGACCATCCACTCTTTCCCACTGGGGTAGGCTTCTGCTGGTGCCAAAAGCTGTACTGGCTATCCAAGTGTAACTCCAAGTTTAACTCTCGAAGGACAACTACAGCTGGCAGGAGCAAGCTGAGTGCTGGAGGTGGACGAGGGGAGCAGAACCTGTGCTGGCTTGTTAGCCATGAGCTGTTAGATCAGCTCACCTCATCCCAAAGGAGGTTATGGGATACAAAGGCTGGTCTAACTTTTGAATGAGCAAGGTCTGACACTCATTTAACAAGTGGCCAAACAAGTACCAAGTGACCGGGAACATCTGCAAGTTCTCACTTCGGCTTTTGCAGTGTTACACACAAGAAAATGGCAGGCCTGAGAACACAGTTGAGAGTCCCTGTCATGGACCTCCCTCTTGCCTTGGACTTGCCTCCACTCCCAGCCAGCCTGAGGTTTCTCCAGTGCCTGAGAGCAGCCCTTCCAGCTGTGCTGACTCCAGGGGTGATGTGACATCCATTAGCTAAGAACTGGACTGGGACCAACAGCTCCTTTTGTTTCTCCCCACAGCCATCACTGCTTCTTCTTCTATTGAACTATTGACTTGGACAAGATTCAAATTAGTTGCCTATGGGTGAAAGGTTCCTTGTCCCATCATGAATTCCACATTCCCGCTTTCCCTAGCTCCCAGCTGTCATGTCCTGCCCCTCTTCCTCCCAGTGGCTCTCTGAGCTTCTTGACCCTTTTCAGCTGTCCCCTTTGAGCCTGTATCCAGCTTTCTGATCTGCACAACCTGTTTTTCTTTTTTCCTTTGCCTCCTGCTTAAGTCAGATTCTCTGTGTTCTTAAGCTACTCTGCTCTTGTATTGTTTTCTTCCAGTTTCAGCATCACTGGCAGCAGTCTCAGCTTCCACACAAACCAACATGGACCTCAGAACCCAGGTTCTCCTTTCTCCCTCTTTCACCACGCTCAGTGTTAGCCAGTTGTCCTGCTCCCTCACTTCTTAGTCCAAATGAACCCAGATTCCCTCTAAGTCTTTGGCTTTTTAACTGGAAAATTCATCTACCCAGGCAAGAGCAGCACAAAAGACCAAAATGAGCAGTCCCTGCATGCTCCAGAGAAATGGAAAAGATAGGAAAAGGGGGTTGGACTGCAGTGAGCAGGGTGTAACTGACAGGGAAAATACTCAGGGGTATTTTGCCCCCAGGATCGTGGGCACACCTCAGGGGTTTCCTGCCTGGAACCCACACTGCGACATCACCTCGGGCTGACACAAGGTGGCCTCTGTGGCTCACAGAACAGTGACAAGTGACAGCCAGCCACGTGGACACAACATTCCAGCCTACAGTGGAGCCATTCCAGTAGTCACTGAATGGATGGAGGCTTCAGAAATATATCCATCACATAAGTAAGACTCCACCTGCAATTAAATTATTTAAATGTGTAGGTTTGCCAAGTAAGGTCACTGTCATAAATAACTCATCATCAATACATGTGGTATTTTTCTTTAGAGAGACAAAATATGAGGGTTATACCCTAATACCTGACATTTGGATGTGATTTAAGCAAGTGCATAGCTGAGTTGAGAAATTATCCAAGCCAGGCACATGCTGCTTTTTCTGGACTTAGGACCTCACAGCAAATAGCTGGGCTCTAACACAGGTGATCTCCAACACCCCAAGGCTCTTGCATAGCCACAGGAATTTCTTGGATTGGATCAATACATTGTCAGTTCATGGAGCAGCTGCTTCTCAAGCCCTCAGCTCTTGCTAAGTGAAATCCTCTACTCTACTGAGCTTTTTGGAAGTGAAGTATTTCACAGTCCCAAACCAGAAAAGTATCCAAATGAGAAGGTTTTCAAGACCAGCAGGAGGGATTCTCAAGTAAACCCACTCACCCCTTCAAACATTTTGTTTTGAAGCCATAATTTCAACCTCCACTAAAACTCCAATAACTCCACTAAAATAATACAAATTCTAGATTTAATTAGGCAAAAATAATTCCCTTTTCTACCACTGTTATAAAGTTCCATAAGAACCCTGAGCTTATTCCCTTAAAAGAAACTTTCTACGAGTGTTATCGGTGATTATCTTGGTAATTTCAGAATGAGAAGAGGTCAAATCCTGGAGCACTTGCTGTTCCCTCACCCTGCCTGGTTTTGGAAAATCAGGTTCTTTCTAGCAGAACTGACTCCAGATCAGAGCAGACTCCAATCCCTCTTGGACAATAAGTTCCCCCAAGTTTGTACATGAGTTGTGTGATCTTTGTGGCACATGAAGAACAGAAAGGACAGAGCACATCCAGCTCCTCCAGGCTACACAAATATCAGCCATGTACTTGAAAGTTTGGATTTGTTAGGAAAATAGTCATAATCATCACCATCAATCAGCTGCACTTAAGTTACCTCCAAACCCACACATAAAACACGGGAAGCTGTTTAAAAATAAATTACAGGTTGTTCTAATTATAAAATTAAGTGTATTTTAGATTAGTAGTTTATTTTTTTAACAATGTTTTGCTGTAATGATATATAATCTTATAAGGCATGTTCTTTCCAAAACTTGTTATTTAAATGAACACATCATGTAGTTACTGGGATAATTATTAGCAAAAATATCCTTGAGACAAAATGCTTGCCAAAAGCTGTTTCAAATGTTTCCTTTCTAGGAGCCTCAAAGACAAATAACTTTTAAGAGCACTCAATTTACACAGTCTTTCATGTAAATGGTAAGAATCCTTTAAAAAACAGTTGCTGTTGGTATTACCAGTATTTTGTCCAATTTTCTAGTACTGTGGGGGTGTACAGATTTTTTTTTATTTTATTTTAATGTCCATTTCAGAATAAAAAAGTGCATATTAAAGGTCAGCCTCTGTTGGGGATAAAAGCAACACAGATGATGAAACAAATTAATTTTAGCAAGATTAGTAATCTCAACTAGGCTTAAATCATGACTATTCATATATTTAAATCTACACAAATCACATCTTTTTAGTCCTTAGGAATAAAGCATGCTATAAGCACAGTCCTTGAAAGAGACTTTATCTTGCTGCTTGGAGAAATTTCATTCATCAAAAAAGTCCTTTCAAAAGTACGTATATGATATTGAGGGGGGAAAGGAAGCAAGTATTAATGAGACTATCTATTTTATGCTAAATAGAAGCATTAGGGTTCATCCCTAGAATTACCATGTTTCTCTGGGCAGCTCCTGACTGCAGCCACTGATAATGGGCTTTTTCCCAAAATACAATCAGGCCATAGTTTATCTCAGACAAACTGAGTAATTTCAACACTCTGCATTTCTTTAGGAATTATGCTAATTTTATAATAAAAGCAAGGCCTTTTGGCTCAGCTGGCCAGTAACACTTGCTCTGGTCTCAGTGAGAGCACAACTGAACCCTTTCCACAGCTAAGATGACAAATTATCTTTCTGTTAAGCAGCATTCAGAACAGTAATTGAGGTCTTGCTAAGCTTGACAGATACCATAAGCAACCAAAGAAAACAGTAACAGCTGGATTAATATATCAACCACTGCTTTACAAGGGTAAATGGAAGCCTTAATTGCCTCCTTCCATGTACTACATACATGGTATAATGAAAAACATTTCACTAAGTTTGTACTCATTTCATGTTCACAACTATAAATCAATTCAAATTAGTAATGTTATATATTTGTCTAACAAATTACTTGTTTTGGCTCTTTAACATGAGCAAAACAAACTTAAAAGAGCAGAATGTGTCTGATCACAGCTGGACCTGCCACATCTCCTGCTAAAACCTGCAGTGTCTGAAGCTGTAACAGTGTGAAGCAGCTCAGTCAGCAGTCACAACTGCCAGGAGCACAGAGGACTTGCCCTCAGAAATACCAAATATACCTGTACATCCTTGAAAACAAAGATCATTTGAAGAATAAAAAGCCTTCTCTGGAACTGATAATGCATATAGTGGCTGATTCTTTGAGGAACTGGCTTTTCCACTGCCTTGAGAGGATTACTCATGGAACAGGTTTTGAGCACAGGAGATCAAGTACTAATTCCTGGCTGATTAAATGGGCAGTCTCCAATTTTTCTTACACCAAAGATCATGTGAAAATGTAGGTACTTACACAGCAAAATGATAGATAAAACACTTCCACCCACTGGGCCTCTCCAGGAAGTTGTAGACCTGTCCCTGGGTGCTGGTTTTGGTCAGATATTGGCTCTGGAAGCACTCCGTGGTCCGGGTCCTGCTGGCTCCACTGTCCGAGCAGGCTGCAGCCTTTGTGCCTTCCCCGGGGCTCTGGGGAATCCCGGCTCCCTTATCCATGGAGGGCTCTGGATTCAGTGCCACAGGAGAATACTGCATGGTGCTGAGGTTCCCCCTGACTTCCAACAACGCTGCAGATCTGCTATTCCCACTCAGAGTGCTCAGCTGGAGAGTGGAGCCTTGATCCTGCCCACGGTGGTTACAGTCCAGGTACGCAGCAGTTTCTGCACCACCACAGGACATCCTGCAACAACAGCCAGGTATTGCTGTCTCTGATCAATATTTAAAATCATGAAGGAGGGATTGGATGTCTTCTGTGCCCAAGGGTCTCCAGAAGCTGATAAGATGACTTTGTGCTGTTATCACGGAGCTTCTCTGTGACACAAGTGCGAGCTGCCAGCCTGTCACCTGCTGTCACTCACATCCTCTGAATTTAAGTCAGAAAAACCTATGAGACAGTAACAACAGAAGGAACAGGAGTCTGGGAAAGGAAAGAGGTTGAGACTTCTGGAGGAAGGAAAGAAAATTAATTTCAAAAGTACATTGTTAAGAAGAAAGCCTAGAACTATTTAAACAGTGTGTTTAAATACTTGTGCAGTAGCAGAGAGAGCTGATCCTACCAGATTACTTTAAGCTAAGCAATTCTTGAAGTGCCCTGATTAGAAATGAAGTGTTGCCCAAAACACACCTGAATGAGGCTTTGAACTTCAACACCTACACCTCAGGAGAATTTATCTAGAGGATCAATATTACAGGAAGAATTTAAGACTTAAATAAATTATTTCAGTCACCTCACAGGACCTGATCTTGTAGTCCACAGTACTCTGGAACAACTTTTCTCAAGTTTAAAAAGGAGGATGCCATTAATGATAGCTGATTCTGGGAGGTTAATATTGCTACAAGGGGAAAAATCAAAGAGTCCTGGCCTGATCCTCAATTTTCTCCAAGCCCTTTCATGCTTGCAGCTAATTTGGCTACTCTCAAACAAGTACCTAAACAAAATAGAAAAGACAATAGGGTTCTTCTAGATCAATATGTATTTTATAAAGCAGAATTCAATTTCTGCTAATACAGAGCAGCAATTTCTTAGCAGCAACATTAATAATTTTGTAAGACTGAGAGTGGATGTCTTTTTTTGAACTGCCTTATTTCCTACACCCCACATTCAGTTACTTTAACCTCAGTAAAATATTTTAGAGAGACAATTTCAGCCTTCACACACACACCCCTTTTTTAAATTAAGCCTATTTTTTGCTGTTGCTTAAAGCTCCTCATATGTAGTGGTGGAACTCCCAGTGTAGTACATCTGAATGGAGCCCTCCAAGTTATTCCACAAAGTATCATTCATTTTAACATGACTTTCCTACACAGGGCTCATTTCTTAACACTTCTCATGGAAAGGTGAGCATCAGTTCACATTCCCACATCAGTCCTAGTGCAAAGAGAGAAATACATCCCTTCCCTCAGCAGCTCTCTTACTGAACAGCTGGAGGGTGCAGACATTAAAGCACAATTCATCCCAGTCAGCCTGCAGCAGGTCCCTGAGAGGCACCTCGAAGAGCATCCGTCCACTCTGAGGCTGCCTGGAGGAGGCTGGCTAGGCAGAGCTGCAAGCACAGCCGCCTGGAACACCTTTCCTGGGCTGCTCCATCCACACACGGCATTCCACAGACACGGCACAGAACAACCTGAAAGCAGCTGGCAAACAGCACCTACTTTCTCCGGGCGCATCCCTCTCCTGGCAGCTGCTGCACACCCGGGAGTCCCTGGAGAGGTGCGGGAGAGGAGCTGCTGCCCGGCTCTGCCCACAGCTCCCCAAGTCCCACCCTGAGCAAGGCAGGGGCCCTCCCTTTGGGCTGCCTTATATGGCTGCCCTTGCAAAAGGCACAGAAAGAATCGGGAACAGTTTGGATGATTTCAGAGAGAAGTTACTTCTGTCTCTTCCTGCTGTCAAAACCAGCAATCACAAGCAACAGCTTAACTTCCCTCCCAGGCTTTTTCTTATCTGCAGACACTTCATTGCAATGCATTAAAAGCAGCCTTTCCTTACTGCACATCTTTAAACACTGAATTAGGTGATGCTTGTGGCAAGCTGGAGGCTCTGCATCCTCCTTTCATACTGGGAAAGTCTAAACAGCAGCTTCAGTTGCTCAGGGTTTTTTCCATCAAAGTTTTGACACAGCCAAAAGCAGTGCTTCATTGTTACATCAAGTACTGGAAAATCAGGGTTCTCTCGTGTTGTTGCCCTTTTGAACTCCAGGTCATTTTTTATGCTAATTTGGGAGGAAGAGAATCCCAAACATAACCATTCCAGCATCTAACTCTCCATTTTATTGTTGACCTTTCTAATCAGGAAGGAGAAAGTGAATACTGCTATTTCTCTCCTTTCCTGCCTCTTGTAACAGAAATCAGACTGTTGTCTGCAATGCCAACATTCCAAACTTAAGCTTCCCACTTTTCCAGAGCCAGGAGTTTGAGAATGGAACAAAGGTACACCTTTCACCCTATGGTTATCATCACTGGGGGAATGCTGCCATTGCACATAGTCTTAACTGTTCATGGGGCTAAGGCATTTCTTTCCTTGGAAAGATTATTCCAGAAGGTTATTTATTAGTTTCCTAGTTATATTTCCATACCACTGCAAAAACTCCAAAACAAAAAAAAACCACCCCAAAACCCTTTCAGTTCCTTTCTTTTTTCTTGATACATGATACGTGTAGTCTGATCTTAAAGCCAACCCATCCAGAACATTTTCTTTGAATGCTGTGTTGCTCAGTTTACCCTGTGCACAGAATTGAATACATTATTCCACACACTACTGCAGGTGAGTAGTCATTGAGAACTGATACCTGACTGGAGCCACAAAAATCCTTCTCCAGGTTTTTGCTTCTTCCTGAAATCTTTGCTGCATCAATTAATACTTTTATACTCTCTGCTGTATTAACTTTTCCAGACAGTAATTTGCTAAATCAAAAAATTTCTATCTCTCCTCACCTCTGACCTCTCCTGAATGTAATTACTCAAGCTCTACAGAACTAGCCAAAGCATGGAGGGGGAAAAAAAAATTGAAAAAACCTCAATGAGCCAAACAAAAACCCCCAACCAACCAACCAACCAACCAACTAACCAATCAACCATCAACCAACCAAGAAGTAATTTTTGTGGATATTTTATTATTACAAATAAATTTCCTTTGAGGGAATAGTAGTATCCAGCTTTATTGCAAATGCAAAACCTCAACATTATAGCAGAAGATTTGAAACCCCAGCAGAAATGAAACCAGAGCACCTGACTCCTATTTCTTGGTTGAGGAAATGATTTAATCATAAGATTTTAATAGACTGAGAGGTGTAAGACTTGAACTCATTCCTTCACACACCCTCAAAAGCAGTACATTGCATCTTTGGGTCAGAATCTCAAAAGGCAATTAGTCACCTCACTAATTTATGACCTACATCAAAGACATGATTTCAGGGATGTCTAAATGCTGAAGTGCTCACTGGTAACTATAGATGCACACAGCATCCTGCAACTGTGTATATAGAGGAGCATGACTTCTGTGGCTGGGCTCACTTCATGTGTTTCATTTTGGTGGGCCTGGTGCCACCCCCATGCTCAGAGTGCACATCTTCCTCACCCTGACAGCACTGCATTTAGCACTAGGCCTGGGAATTTATAACCAGAAGGCCAGGATGGGAAGGCACAGAGAAATGTCTGGCTCTGAGATGCACTTTTGAGCCCCTTCTTGAGGAGGAGGCACTTCTCAGAGACAAACCTAAACACAGCACCACTGGCACCACCCATCACTGTCTCCTCTGGGGGCTGTGTTTTAGAAGGAGAGTGTTAATGAGTCATGCAAGAGACAGATAATATAGAACCCTTAATGCTAGAAAATATCTTGAAGGGTAAATAACAGATGAGACTTGGAAAACATTCCCGCGCCCCTCTGTCCATCCCAGATTCCATTCTCCGGACGTAAGCTCTCTGCATCAGTGCTCTTGAAGATCTGCTCTGGATCTGCGAGCTGCAGCACTGCCAGCACTGATGGCCAGGAGCTGGGCACTGCTGAGTGCCACAGAGCCCTCTGTGCCAGCTGTGGGATCTTAGCAGTGATCACACTGGGGCACAAACCCAGCGAGTTGTGTGGCTCCAGCTGGTGGTACCCAGAACGCCTTTAAAGAGGCAAAATTCCAGCCCTTGCTCTCTGATTCAGCTTCCCAGCCTGGTGGGCTCTTACAAGGGACTGTAAACAAAGGTAATTGAGAGTAATGAAATGGAGCTTCAGCTCTGAGTTCACTTAACAGTACCCTCTATATTTTTAATTTTTGAACTGTAATGGGGCAATATTTGTCTAGCCAATCTGTTACACAGTTCAATTATCTGTGGAGCACTTGGCGGTCTATTTAATGTGCACCATGAACATCATTATTCTCCTTCACAGGGATATGCTGAACGTAAACTAAGATTATCATGACTTGTACACTGTGGTATTGGAAAGATGGTGCATGTCCAGATTGAGACACTGGGCTTCCATTCTCTCCAAAAGTTTGCCAAGTGATGTATTGTAGAATTTTACCACACAGGAGAGATATGATGTGACAAATTGCCTTTTATGAGTGCTGGCAGTGCTTCATTATTTTTGTACTAACATAGATAGTCTACAAGGCTGACTGCTTGACCCAGAGTAGTGTCTAAGAATTCCATAAATTTCTCATTTCCATGGCAGAATGCCTGTAAGAAATTAACCTGACTCCTGCACTTAAAAAAAAGAGGTTTTTCCCCTCTGTTCAAACTAAAACTAAAATATTTTATTACAAAAATGAACAGAAGATGCAAGTTCTTCAAGAAATGCCTGAACATCTTAACAGCCATGATGTGAAGAAAGTGGCAGTCTCATAATATGATGCATATAATGAATGTATAGATCTTAGAATTATCATAAATGTATAAAACTTATACTAAATCATAAAGTAAGATCTAAACTATTGTTGTTATGCTGACTTTAATAAACTCTATCTGCCTGATGGAAGTAAAAAAAATCAATTCATTCACATGATCATAAGAGGGGGAACTAGTAGCAACTTTCAGGTCAGGTTGTCTGCCTGTTCCTACAATACCTGTCCCTTTCATTTCTTGAAAATTCATCAACATTGTAAGTACCTGGGCCTAAATTTTATTCTGAAAATCTCTAGTTCTGCTTTTGACTGGTTGGTTAAAAAGCTATGCAGCCACTTTTGACCACGCAGACAGAGGAAAATAGGTAGCTCTTTTAAAATAAACCCCACTGATAACCAACATCCATAACCATCCCAAAACAAAACCAGCAAAGCACAATAGCTTGTGTACTGGAACCATACCCTGAGAATGTATCCCTTTCCATGGGATGTTCAGTGGTACCCATGGGATTCAGCACCCTGGAGAGAGCAAAGGGACCCTGCTCAACAACCCCCTGCCCTGCCTCAGACCCCCACCCACCCAAAAATCACATCTCACCACCATTAGGTAACTTAGAGGGACTCCAAGTCCTGTTTTTCTCTCATTTTTATGAGTCCTGATGAGTCCACAGCCATCCAACACACATCTCCAAAAAAAACATTGCATTTTTAATTTCAGCAAGGATGTCAAGTATTTAGCTTATCTTTGTGTATGTGTGCATGTGTATGTGAAAAATCTCAGCTAAACAAATCACTTGCATGGCTAAACTATTCCACAGTCATTCAGGATACATTTCAGGTTTTCATTAAGAATATACACACTTTGTGCCTCAGTCTTTTAGCTTGGCATCCTGTTGCTGTTGTCTCTCACTACAAGGAGGGGGGAAGATGAAAGCTGAAGAACTGGGTGAAAGAGCTGACAAAGAAGTGTGTTTTCGTCCGCTGGAAATGGGAAAGGTTTTGATTCCATGACTTTTGCACCACAGTTAAGCAAAGTTTCAAGAGTTTAAAATAATTTCTATTGGACAAATGGCAGCATCACATTTACCATTTGACGCACTATGGGAAATCAAACAATAACTATAATGCATTCCATGAGAGTCATGTTACCATTTGACGCACTGTAATAACTATAATGCATTCCATGAGAGTCATTTTAAGAATGATGCAGCCAAATATCACTGTTCTCATGATATTCCACCTGGACAATCTTGGTGTGCAGTTTAAGTGCTCTTCACTAGGCCAGCAGAATTCTTTAATTATAAATCATAATATAGTTTTATATAAAGCCACAGCATTTTCAATATCTGAATATTAATAAAGCAGATGAACTAAAATAAACTTCTACCATGTAGAGCAAAGTATCTGTTGTTATGCTTATGTCGCATTAAAGGAAGACAAAATTACTGCATGAAATAGGTTCCCTATGGTCACTGCTGAAGAGGTAACCAGATAGGAGCCACAGAAAACCTTCACATAATAAGAGGCAATATAACTTCTTGCATAGTGAACCTCAGCTGTTACTTGATTCCTTTCTTCAATTATATTAAGTGTCCCAGCATTGTTTGATTGGGTTTGTTTAAATCATTAGTGATGCACTGGAGGAAAAGGATACTGTTATTGGTTCTAGGGTTGTAACTGAATACCATGAAAAGTGGGTGCTTATTTCAAGTATATCTGAAAAGATTGACCAAAATAGAACTATTGCTTCAGGAGAGACTCTTTACATAGGAGCTGTGTGTTATAACTGAAGAGGCAGTTTGAAAAGATGACAATGATCCTTTCAGGGTAAGTGCAGTTGGGCATTCTTACATTTACATGTAGGAGTTTAAAAAAGTCAACTAAGACATTTCATTAATTTTATCTAGTTTCCACAAAGCTT